CTTGTATTAAAAATCTTTTAGCTTTTTTCCTTTCTTTAGTGATTTTTTAAAAGAATGATTAGTTCATTTTCTTTTTGTCCAGTGCTTTGCTTAAAATTTTGAGTCAGTGCCTTTTCCTTTATTTTTCAGGTGCGTTTTTAGGTTCTATCAAATTTTTAAATTATTTTTATCTACTTCCTAGGTATTACTATACCTTCTAGCTGTGTACATATATGATTCTAGCAAAATGCCCTTTTGTTTTATGCAAAAAACATAACTATTCATACTGCTGATAGTCAGCAACAGAAGCAAGGTTGACAGTTTAATAATCATTATTTTGCACTTGGTGGGTAAAAAAAGTCTGCCATAAATCACTACTTATGAGGTGCGGAAGTATTCAAGAGTTGCCCAAAAAGTCCAAGCAAATTGCAAGGGGCAATCATATAGCCCTCGACATCCTACGCCCCAAAAAATATGCGCCCATTTCAGATATATAGCTATAGCGTATCCGATGCATGCTCGCCGACTATGTTCCAGGCAAAATATATTTGTTACGATACTAATCACATGGCTATTTGTTGCGCTTTTTGCCATGCCCTATGCATTACTCCACGAAATGACACCAAAATGTATGCTTCTTTTAATTCTTAGAGGGACAGCTTTCTTCAGTCAACTATTATTTCATCATCGAATTCCTCTGGCCATTGGAACAGCTACCAACTTCTCAAATCTTCTTCGTTTTTGGCTTCTCTCATCCACATAATTCCATATAACCATTCGAACGGATCCTTCTGCTGGTTCTCAGATTTCTGAATATGGCTGTGAATTTGCATACACATTTATTTATTAAAAGTGTAAAACCTTTCTGCAAAGGATACTATGCAGTTATGTCAAACAAGCCTTTTTCACTTGCTTTCTGAGCTTAAAATTCTATGCGACGCTTGTGTATTTTATCAAGCTCTGTGTGAAAGGCCAAAACATTCGGAAACAATCCGAGTGATACCTTTTGCAAATATCCGTGTCAGTGATGTGCCCGAAAAGCCTCCATTTCTTAGGTGCAGTTGTGCCAAGGCCTCTGATTCTCAGTTGTGCCAGGTCCTTTGAACCTGAATTGTATACTCCTGTTAGTAACCGACATCTGTTCAGTATATGTGCGCTACCTTTTTGGTGGGGGCCTACTTTAGTAATAGTAGGAGTCCTTCGTGGGGGTCACTCACTGGTACGCGGTATCCACTGATTATCAGCAAGGCAGGCAACATGCTCTAACCAGTGAATCTTAATTACTTCTATTTTTATTTTTAAAATGACGATAGTTTTAGCATTGTGCGTTAATCCATATGCATCGTCACAATTCTGGAGGCGTTATAAATGGTTCGAATTTCTTCTATTTTATTTTATACCATGTATCATATTTGTTGCGCTCTATTCAAAAGTGGCAAAAATTTTATGGGTCAAAAATAAGCTTCTTTCAAAAGGTTCGTTCTTCAGACCGCTTTGCTGTTAGCACTGAAAAATAGTGCCTTACTGGGTCAAGAAAACCCTTTCGTATTTCACTCGCTTTGTAAGATGAATTATCTTGGGAGCAGTTTGGGTGGTACCACATTCATTTTCAACAGACAGCAAATTTTTTTGACAGCTGCCGTTATCGAAGGTTGTTTTGAACACATTAGTGACCATGAGAGTCTTTTTTGCCGGCTTTTTATGGATTTTTCGCAATAGTAAGTGGCAGTTTGTGCCAAGCACGGTTATTTGCAGTTCAATGATCTGTTTTGCTTGAAAAGATATCACTGTGTTAAAGAATTTTTAAAAAATGCTTTACTTTTTTGATAAAAACATAACACTTTTGTCCTTTTCATGGAACTGCAATGATCATGCAGGATAGATCACACATTTACTTCATTACCTCTTTTTACCTTTTCTAGTCACATTTTTACTTACCCTTAAATAAAATTTACGACAAACGGAACTGTGTTGCGCAAAATATTTTTCCAGTGAAACTATCGTCATATTGTTTCTAGAGTTGCATAGGGACCCAGCTGTACAAGCACATAAACTTTCATGTCACCAAGCTTAAACAACTTGTTTTTGATTGCGCAAAGCATCGAAAATCATCC